TCAAGGGGGGGAAAAAAAGGAGACATATGTAATACTCTTTTTAATACTTTAAGAAATAAAAATTATAAAAAAAAAACTACTCGCAAACAATGTATTAATATATTTGTGTGGTGTCAACAGTCTCGTTTGATTTTTTTGCATGTGGATTTCCAAATTTCATGTCATTTATTTAAGAGACTTTCCTTTCTCCATTGTGTTTCTGGCTTCTTTGTAGAAAATCAGCTACCCATATATGTTTGGGTTTATTTTAGGGCTCTCAATTCTGTTCCACTAATATTTTCTACAAATACCACACTATTTTGATTATCGTAGTTTTGTAACAGTTTGAAGTCAGGGATGTGATATTTCTGGCTTTGTTCTTTTTTTTTTTTTTTTTTTTTTGGTCAGGATTGCTTTGACGATTCAGGTTCATTGTCATTCCATGCAAATTTGAGGATTTTTTGTTCTATTTCTGTAAAAAATGCCATTTGGGTTTTACTGGAGACTGCATTAAACCTGAATATTGTTTTAGGTATTATGGCCACTTAACAGTGTAAATTCTTCCAATCCATGATCATGAAATATATTTTCATTACTTTATGTCTTCAATTACTTTCACTAATGTATTATTAGTTCTCAGTATACAGGTCTTTCAACTACTTTGTTAAGTTTATTTCTAGATATATTATCCTTTTTGTTGCAACTGTAAATGGGATTGTTTTCTTCATTTCAATTGTGATATTTCATTGTTAGGAATATATTGGATATTTGTACCTGATTTTGTATTTTGAAACTTTAATGTATCTTTTTATTGTTTCTAAGTTTATGGTGGAGTCTTTAGAGTTTCCTACATATATAATCACTTGCAAACAGTTTTACTCCATTTCCAATATGGATGCCTCTTATTTCTTTTTCTTCCCTGATTGCCCCAGCTATAATGTTCAGTACTATGGTGAATAACAGTATCAAGAGTGGACATCCTAGTCTTGTTTCTGATTATAAACATTTGAATGGGTTTGTTAAGTAGCAATAAGGTATATAAATGTCCAAATTTTCAGGATAGCCAAATTATTTTCCAAAAGAGCTGTACCAATTTACAACCCTATGGACAATAAATAAGAGTTACCACTATCGCCCTACCTAGTTTGGCTCAGTGGATAGTTTCAGCCTGCAGACTGAATGGTACCAGGTTCGATTCTGGTCAAGGGCACATGCCTGGGTTGTGGACTCGATCCCCAGTGGGGGGATGTGCAGAAGGCAGTTGATCCAAGATTCTCTCAACATCAATGATGTTTCTAACTCTCTCCCTCTCCATTCCTCTATGAAATCTATCTATCTATCTATATATTTATATTTATATTTTAAAGTTACTACTATCCTATCTACACCTTCTTGAGCCCTTGGTTTTGCCAGAGCAATTTTTACCAATGTAATGGATACAGATGTTTACCTCCCTGTCACAATTTGCATTTCCCTAATTATTACAATCTTTTTGTCTTCTTCATAATGTTTTAGTACTATTTTTATTTCTCTTCTGTTAAATCTTCTGCTTACATTCTTGGGCCAGTTACCAGGTATGGTATTACTACTATCTTTTAATATTTAATATTTATTGGCTATACATGTATCCTTGTCTGCAAGATTCCTGGTTATGTCTTGCTCTTTCATTTCTGTTGGGTGGCCTTTTCTAATTTAATTTTTTATGGTACTTAATAAATTGTATCTAACAATCCGTAGTCAATCCTTTGTTATATGAGTTGCAGGTATGT